GGGACCATCCCACCTGCCAACAAACATCTAAGCCAAGATGTGTTGTGTCACCTTGGGCATTACCTCGCCCACGTTGCAGAAAGCGCTCTAGGCATGGGACGGGGCGGACATCCACGGTGGTCTAGAGGCATACGCGTGGTTACTAGAACCTCCCAACTCAAAGGCTCCACGCTTTTTGTGCCTCGAAGACGCTCCCCGCCATCCGCCACGCAACTGACCTTTGCAGACGAGTGCCGACTGTCCCTTTGCACTGGTTCCTCGACTCTAAGAAGCTATCATCACCTCCTCGTTCCGAGCAGGCGCTTCCCGTCATCCGCCAAGCGTGCGGCGTTTTGCGATGACGAGTAAGTTGCTCAAGGCGTCTTCGTGTTTTCTGTCCTTTACTAGATGACTTTAACAAGCTCCCGCCGCCTGGTTCGGAGCCAGCGTTCCCCGTCATCCCCACAGCGATCGCCGGTTTCGATCCCGAGCCATGAGTCCCTCGCGCCTCAGTGAAGAACTAGCTAACCCCAGCAGTTCCCAACACATTCGCACTCCGAGAAAAGACTTCCCGTCATCCACCAAACGAACAACTGCGCGATGCCCAGTCAAGCGTGTCTCGCGTCCCACAATAATTCCATGCCTAACTTACTAAAGCAGCTGTATGACCTTCTCGGTCCGAGATAGGTTTTTTGGGGGATCCGCACCCCCATATCAAGAGGTCGACCGAGCAATCGCAAGGCCAACCGCCTGGTCGACCCACGCGCGCGCATCCACATGCGTCGCATACGAACCGTATCACCCACTGGTGGGAGGCTCGCACATCAGTACCTGGCCCTCTGACAAAAGGACTGGTGGCAGGCAAGAAGACTCAAACGGCGCAAGGCGGCATGCGCAGAGAAGCATAATTCAACGATGCTGGGGCCGCTCTGACTAGCAGTGCAAAGTCGGCAACGCTCCAAGACGGCGAAACGAGGGCGGCAGACAGTCCGATCGACCACCTGTCTGCGGGCTGCGGGCCGAGCCAAACTCGAAGCCACCAGCGCAGCAGGCCGAAGACAGGGAAAAGGCAGGGGACGCGCCAGCGTTGGAAAAAAAACGCAACGAAATTGTGCAACAGCTGGAACCTCGCCAGGGCAAAAGCAACAATACTTGGCCGAGTCGAAGCATTGCGATCACTGTCGGCTCTCACGAACCACGGAAGAATACTGCACCATCCCCATTCTGCTTGGCCGGAAGGTCACGGAATTGGTTGGTGTAGTCGACCGCAAAACACCGGATATAGGCACGCGGGAAGTCGAGCCATTTGGTACTGTATGGTCCCACACGAGCCATCTGGTGAGCGCGATGTCCGCTTTGTTGTGCAGCCGGGGGGGGAATTTTGCTGAGGGTCCTCAACTCCGTTGCGTCGAGGCAACAGATACGTCGGTCCGTAGGCTGGCGTTTATCGTGCACGATGGCCTGCGGTGTCGGGATCATCCTGAGCTCCCCCGAGCCAAATGACCAGGCTACAGCAAAACAGGAAACGATAGAGGCCCCGACGCGTCCCAACACTTGGGCACCCACGCATCTCCCGAGGCTGTTGCAACTGTTGCGTCGCCGAATTGAGTAACCCTATAACGTCGACCTGCCACAACGCCCTGGCCTGCATAGAGATCGGACCACGATTACGCTCGCCTTCTGGCGAGAATGGCACGGCAAATGCGGCGATAACATCTGATGTTGTGCACTGGCTAGCTCCCGGCACCGGTATCATGTGACAACACGGAGCTCCACGGTGATCGTGCCGTCACCGAACGCTCGGCCCTCCAGCGTGGATGAGTCGGCTAGCGATGGCGAGAACAAGAGAAACGAGACACATCACGTACTGCCATCGACTGAGAGACATGCTGGGCGGGGGTTTGCGACCCCGCTGACACGATGGAAATCGCCAGAAACGCTCGAGCCAGGGCCTTGAAATAGGATTCGCCGTCATCCGCCAATCAAGGCACATTTGCGATCCCGAGCCCGTTGTCCCTCGCTTCTGAGTTCGTAATTCGTTTTCTGCTTTCCTTACCCAAACAACAACTCCACCAAACCTCTTTCCAACAATGCGTGCCCCGTCTTCCGCCAAGCCAAAAATTTGTGCGACCCCGAACCGAAAGCCTCTCGCGATGTTGATTTTCATGCGTTCCTGCCTCTTCATTCATTTTCATGTATTAAAACTGTAGCCTTCTCGCTCCGAGGAAGCGCTTGCCGTCATCCGCTAAGCACCGTGGCAGGTGCATTCGCGAGCCTGTTGTCTCTTGCGGTGGATATCTACACCTTCCTTAGTTAGCGTCTTCGGAGAAGCTCCCATTACGTTGTGATAAGTGTGACTGTCACCCGACAACCGCCCCCAAAAAACAAGCTGCCACATCGGCCTAACGGGCCCCCCTCGTCTCCCCTGTGCGTGAAATTCCTACCTAGAAGAACGCAACAAAAAGGCATGAACATAATTGTTTTGAGGTCAGCGCGGGTTTCTTGGATCAGCGCTCAAAGCTCCTCCGTGACGCGCGGAGCGCGACATGGGGCGGCGCCGGAGGCGCAGCCAGGGGGACCCAACGCACGTCCAAAATATCCACGGGGACAGCTCGAAGATCATGTTCACGCACCGTCAGCGAATCGGAATCGAGTAGGATTCAGAATTCGGGGAGACTTAAGACTCGGGTTAGGGGTTCGGGTTGGCACGATGGAGCCATCATAAAAATGACGCGACCCAATCTGAAATTTGACGCGGGCTCCCTCTGCAGCCATCCCACAAACACTGAACCGTCAAGATTCAGAACGGGCTCGCCAAAAAGCGTAGGCGAACCCGAGTTGCGGCGTACTCGAGTCTTACGTTTCCCCGAGCAACGAGCCACGCGGGGCGGCAGTGGAGCGGCTGGGGCTCCTCCTCGGTCGATGCCCGCAGCAGGTGCCACAGCAGCAGGGCGGCGCCCGCCGCCGCCAGGGCCGCCGCGGCGGCCCTCGCCGCGGGGGGCGCCGTGGGCATGCCTGCCGGGGCGTCTGGTGGCGGGAGGGGTCGTGGGCGGGAACGGAAGACGCGAGCACTGCGTACATCGGGGCCCGACCACAAGAGACCATCCTCAGGAAACCAACCCCTGAGACCCCAGGACGCCCGTAGATTTTTGATGTGGGAACGTCACGCTTTCCACAGCAAAACCATCGAAACCCAAGCGCGTTCCGCTACTCACAAAGCCACTAGCAAATGGCATGGATCCGCCATGGGAGATTTACGACAAATCATCGCATCGATGCATACCTGTTTTGTTTCGGACGTTTGCGAGTAGGCATTCTACGAGCAGTGGACCGCGCTCGGTGATGGAGACATGAAGGGTGTCTCTTGGCACGGGCCTCCACTGTAAACAAAGACCTTCGGCGCTCGGCGCAGACTTTCTGGATCGGCGCCGAGCCCCCCCTCGCCATCGCTCGGACGTCCATACCCTGTGTTCTTTTCGGTTTCGTGCGTTTTTTTTTCGCCGAATGATCAGGAATGCTCCTCGATGGCCCCCGCCGAACAAAAAATGCACACGTCCGAGCGATGCCAAGCCCCTGGCGGCGCGTCCAGGGCGGCCCCATGGCGCGCTCCGCGCCCCAGGGAGGAGGGCCCTGAGCGCGGCAAGGGTATGCTGATGCGGTTTTTGCTCCCCTAGGAATGCGACCCATCATCGTTACAGGCTTCCTGGATGGGCTCCGAGCAGATGGGGTCGGAGGATCGCGCCCCTAACCTCAGCGCCGGTCCAGCCATCTCATTTCGGGCGTTGGCAGAACTGGGTTTACTGGAACCTGGTTTAAGGATTTGCACCGGGGGCGCCCACCCGTCCCACTTCCACTCACCGGAACTGCCGTCACCCGACAAACACCAGGTACGGCAAACCTGGTTTCGTGAATCTGGCCAATTGTGAAGGGCCCCAGGGCCCTACCACTAATCGGGTCCCCTTACCCGGGGTCCTGGCTATACCCGATCATTAGAGGGAAACAAACCTACCTCGCTTTTGACCACCCTGGCTTCCAAGAGATACCAAGCGATGCCAAATTGCAGCCTGTGCTGGTCGGTTTTGCCTGGAAGCGAAAGCGGGGTAGGTAATTCACGCTCTGAATCATTGTCTCCCGTCGCTGCCGACGTCGTCCCGGAAAACTGGGCCTCAATGCCGGCACGGCCGGCTCGCTGCCGCCCGTCGCCGCCGCCGTCGCCGCGGGCAGCTCGGCCCCAGTGACGGTGTGGCCGGCTCGTCGCCGCCGGTCGCCGCCGTCGCCGCTGGGTGGCTGCGCATTGCGATTTCACAACGCTGCATTGCTTTGCGCGGCTTTGCACTGCTTCGCCCTGCCTTTCGTGGCTCGCATGGGCTTGGCATCGGCTTGCATGGCATTACATCGCTTTGCACTGCTTGGGATCCACATCGCTAGATTGCACCACGCGGATTGCAGTGGACCCAGGGCCAGCGTGCACGCCCTCCATTAGGCTTGGCCGTGCAAGCACAGAACACCGATCCCCGACCCGGGATCGGGCCCGGCCAGGCTCCTGGGTCACCTTGAAGGGCCCAAGGACACACAAATAAATACACACAAATAAACAGATTCCCCGTATTTCCCGTATGTTTATGGGTTTTCGTCCTCCCCCACTTCCCATATGTTCCCATATTTTCTGGGGAGTCGACGATTAATTGTGTCGGTGTGTTTCTTTCCCTCCTGACACCTGACCGTCGCACACCGTGCCCCGCGATGGCTGCCCCCCGAGGCGCAGCGCAGAGATCGAGGGCGATGGGCACAGGGGGGGGGGGAACCTCGACCCGGAATGGGCCATACATCTCCGATGGGTCGGCGAGGGGCCCCTGGCAATTCGCGAGTCCGATCCCCTGCTCGACGAGCGCCGCGGGCCGGGCTGGAGCGGCGGCCCCTTTCCGCGACGAGTGGGCCGGGGGCACAGCGAGGCGGGGGCGGCACACGCCCAGGGGGGGAACATCGACCCCGCATCGCCCAGAGACCGCCGACGGGGGCCCGACGGCCCCAGCCTGCCCAGGAACCTGCGGACTCGCGGATCGCGCCTCGGGGCGCCCCTCGCCGATCGGCCGCCCCTTCCCCGCCCTAGCTCCGCAGCGCGCCTGCGCCCCAGCGCCGATCCGAGAAATTCGCGGGGACCTCCGAGTTTTTATGTTTATGCCACTTTTTGTTCCCCGAGTGTAGTCGAGTGGGGAAGCAAGGGGTACCAATGCCGCTGCTCCCCGGACCGCTCCTGGGGTGCGTCCCGGCCAGCATCTCGAGGCGAAGCTGGCCGTGGCGACGGCGGGGCCTGCCCGGGAGGCCCAAGAGAGGCAGACGCGAGGGGAGAGGCAGCGGCATCGGTCCCTTTGCCTCCTTGTCGCCATCGCCGTCGTCGTCGCCGTCGTCGCCGTCGTCACCGTGTCCTCGCCGTCGTCGTCGTCGTCGTAGTCGTCGTCGTCGCCGTCGTCGTCGTCGTCGTCGCCGTCGCCGTCGTCGTCGCCGCCGTCGTCGCCCTCGTCCTCGTCCTCGTCGTCGTCCTCGTCCTCGTCCTCGTCGCCGTCGCCGTCGTCGTCGTCGCCGTCGTCGTCGTCGTCTGGCGCATCGGCAGCCGCGGGCGGGCTCGGCGCGCGCCTCCCGCGCCGCCGCCGCAGGCCGGGGCGCAGGGGGCGGCCCCCGTGCGCGGCCCCCGTGCGGCATCGGCGACGCGGCCCGGGCCAGCTCTGAGCCGCGAGGCTCAGGAGGTGCAGCGGCGCGCGGCAACGAGGGCGAGGAGGAGGAGGAGGAGGAGGAGGAGGAGGAGGAGGAGGAGGATGGGAGGAGGATGGGAGGAGGAGGAGGAGGAGGCGGCGGCGGAGGCAAGGGGACGAGGGGGCGGTAGGCGTGGCTGTGGCAGCCCCGAGGGGAAGGAGGTCGCAGCTCGAAACGGAGCATCGGGGTGGCAGTCATCAGAGTGGGCTTCTGTCACCCTCGCGGGGAGGAGGAACGCGCCAGGGATGAGGAGGAGGAGGAGGAGGAGGAGGAGGAGGAGGAGGAGGAGGAGGAGGAGGATAGAAGAAGAGACGGGGAGTACCGTTAACGACCACGCAAGATACCCAGACCCCTCGGACTGCGTCCCATTTGTTCGACGCATGGGCCCTTGGATTCCCCGACCCCTTTCCATGGGCCCGTTTAGCCATCCAAGGCCAAGGCTCGACAGCGGCCTCCAAATGCCCAACATGTAGAAGGACCAGCCGTCTCAATCCCAGCTGGCCTGTGTATGGCGGAGGTAATCTGGGGCGCTTCCCTGGCAACCCCCTTCATCCCATCTACCCCCCGGTCGGGCATGTCCCCCCCTACAGGCGGATTTTGGACGGAGCATAAAAAAAGTCAAAGGAAAAATCGTCCCCTCAGTATTGTTTGGCTATGTTTGAATATTCCTCCTGGCTGAATCCTTCATGCCCGACTTAAACTTACCCCCTCGCCCTGGCTCAGTGCACGGGGCCCTTCCGTCTAGAGATGGCCCCAGGGAGCCGGAGATGACCCCCAAGATGGCACAAGATAGTGTGAGATTGCTCAAGGTAGCAACCAAGATGCCTCCAAGGTCGTCATGGTTGACTCCTGTCGTCGTCGTCCTCCTCCTGCTCCTGCTCCTGCTCCTGTTCCTCCTCATCCTCCTCCTCCTCTTCCTCGTGCTCTTTAACGTCGTCGTCCTCGCCCCCCCTCCTCCTCCATCCTTGTTCTCATCCTTCGTCTCCTTCTTCTCCTCCTCCTCCTCCTCCTGATTCTCTTTACCCGCACCTAAACATCCTGTCCATCCTCCTCCTCCCTTCCGCCCAATTCCTCCTTCCCAAACTTCTCCTCTAAATCCTCATCCACCTTCTTCGACGGCAGGCTCAGCAATTCCACTGGTGGGTCTGCTCGGGCCGCCCTACTTGACATGGTTCGCTTCGTCGCCGCGCGCGTGGCCGCGACCGCCAACAATTACCTGTACGTGCGGTCGTGCGTGCGTGCGTAAGTGCGTGTGTGTGTGTGTGTGTGTTTGTGTTTGTGCGTATGCTCGTGCTTGTGGTTATGATTGTGTGTGTGTTTGTGCTTGTGGTTATAGTTGTGCTTGTGTTGGTGTTTGTGGTTGTGCTTGTGTGTGTTTGTGGTTGTGGTTGTGATTATGATTAGGTTTGTGCTTGTGGTTGTGCGTGTGTTTGTGTCTGTGAGTGTGTTTGTGTTTCGTGCGTGTGGGGGTGTGTGCGTGCGTGCGTGCGAGCGTGCATGCGTGCGTGCCTGTGTATATGTGTGCGTGTGCGTGTTTGTGTGTGTGCGTGCTTGCGTGCTTGCGTGCTTGCGTGCGTGCGTGCGTGCGTGCGTGCCTGTGTGTGTGAGTGTGGGTGTGAGTGTGGGTGTGCGTGTGCGCGCGTGTGTGGTTGTGTGCCCCCCCCCCCCCCCTCCTGCACGGTGGCACAATTCGCTGCAACGGTAACCCCGTTTAGGTAGCCCTCTACCAGCCCAGTGACCCTGCCTAGCAGCTGATGCAAACAAGTGTCTGTGTGTGCGTGCGTGCGTGCTTGCGTGCGTATGTGTGAGTGTGTGTGTGTGTGTGTTTGCACGTGTGTTTCCGTCTGTGTGCGTGTGTGTGGGTGTGTTGTTGCATGCGTAATTGTGTACGTGTGTAAGAATGCGTGTGTAAGAGTGTGTGTGTGTGCGCGTGTGTGCGTGTGTGTATGTGCGTGCGTGCGTGCGTGCGTGCGTGTGCTTGTGTGCGCATGTGCGTGTGAACGTGTGTGTATGTTTGTGCGTGTCTGCGTAAGTGCGTGTGCCTTTGTGCGCGTTTGTGGGGTTCGTGTGCGTGTGTGCGTGTGTGCGTGTGTGCGTGTGTGCGTGCGTCCGTGTGTGCGTGTGTGCGTGCATGCGTATGCGTGTGCGCGTGCGTGTGTGCGTGTGTGCGTGTGTGCGTGTGTGCGTGTGTGCGTGTGTGCGTGCGAGTGCGCGTGCGTGTTCGCGTGCGTGCTCGCGCGTGTGCGTCTGCGCGTGCGTGTGTG